GAGCAAGGGATGTCTTTCCATTTCTTTTTATCCTCTTTGATCTCTTTTTTCAGAGTGCTATAGTTCTCAGTGTAGAGGTCTTTTGTTTCCTTTGTTAGATTGATTCCTAGATATTTCGTTTTTTTAGATACTATTGTGAAAGGGACCATTTCCCTAATTTCTTTCTCGGTGAATCTGTTATTTGTGTACAAGGAGGCAGTTGATTTTTGAGTGTTGACCTTGTATTCAGCTACTCTACTGAATCTGTCAAATAAGTCTAGAAGTCTTTGGTAGATTTTTTTTGGGTCTTTTAAGCAGAGTATCATGTTGTCAGCAAATAATGACCTATAGACTTCCTTTCCTATCTTTATTCCTTTGATTTCTTTCTCTTGTCTAAGTGCTGTGGCTAATGCTTCCAAACCTGTATTGAATAGCAGTGGTGATAGTGAACATCCTTGTGTTGTTCCTGATTTAGCATGAAGGTTTCAGTTTTTGACCCCTGAGTTTGATGTTGGCTGTTGGTTTTTCATAGGTAGCCTTTATTAAGTTGAGATAAAGACCAGCTATTCCAATTTTATGCAGAGTTTTTATCATGAATAGGTGTTAAATTTTGTCAAATGCTTTTTCTGCATCTATTGACATGATCATATGGTTTTTGTCCTTGACTCTGTTAATATAGTGTATTACATTTATTGATTTATGTATATTGAACCATACTTATATCCCTGGGATAAATCCAAATTGGTCAGGGTATATGACCTTCTTGAGACCCTCTGTATTCTCTTTGCCTGTATCTTATTGAGGATTTTTGTATCTAAGTTTATTCGCAAGATTGGCCTGTAGTTCTCTTTCGTAGTTGGGTCTTTTGCTGGTTTTGGAATCAAAGTAACACTTGCTTCTAGGAATAAATTTGGAAGTATTGTTTCCCTTTCAGTTTCACTGAAAAGTTTCAAAATTAGTGGTAATAGTTGTTTTCTAAATGTCTTGTAGAATTCAGTAGTGAAGCCATTGGGACCTGGGCTTTTCTTTGATGGTACATTTTTAATTATGTTTTCAGTTTCACTGATTGTAATTGGGGTGTTTAGGATTTTTATATCTTCTTCATTGAACTCTGATGATTCATATGTATCTGGAAATCTGTCCATTTCTTCTGTATTTTCCATTTAATTAGAGTATAGGTTCTTGAAGTAGGTATTGATGAGCCTGTGGATTTCTGCTGGATCTATTGAGACTTCACCTTTTTCATTGCCATTTTCCTTTTCTTTCCTTTTTTTGACAAGGTTGGCTTGGCTTTATTTATTTTATTTATTCTTTTGAAAAATCAACTCTTTGATTCATTGACTTTTTGTATCATTCTCTTAGTCTCCATTGTGTTGCTTTCTGCTCTGATCTTTATAATTTCCTACTTTATACAAGCTTTGGGCTTATCTTACTGTTCTTTTTCTAGGACCTTAAGGTTCAGCATTATTCAGTTGTTTATTTGAGCTCGCTCTGTTTTCCTAGTGTGGGCATTCACTGCTAAATTTTCCCTGTAGAACTGCTTTCATTGTGTCCCATAGATTCCTGTATGTTGCATTGGCATTATCATTTATTTGTAAAAACTCTCTAATTTCTTCTTGAATTTTCTCTGTGACCCATTGGTTGTTTAGGAGAGTGTTATTCAATTTCCATGTATTTGTGAAGTTCTTGCAGTTTCTTTTGCTATTGACCTCCAGTTTAATTGCATTATGGTCTGATAATATACATGGGATCACTTCAACTCCTTTGCATTTTTAAAAACATGTTCTGTGAGCTAGCATGTAGTCTATTTTGGAGAATGACCCATGTGCAACCAAAAAGAATGTATGATTTTGTGTGGTGGAACACTCTGTAGACATCAATTAAGTCCATTTGTTCAAAAGCTTGGTTTAGTTCAAGTATTTTACTGTTGATTTTGTCTAGACAGTCTATTTACTTGTCGTAGTGAAGTACTGATACCCCCCCACTACAATTGTATTAGTGCTTATTTGGTATTTCATGTCCCTTAATATTTGCTTTGTATAGTTGGGATCATTAGTATTTGGTGAATATATATTAATGATTGTCATCTCTTCTTGGATTGTCATCTCATCATCTTCTTCTTCTTCCCTTTACAAGGATGTAGTGAATTTCTTTGTCTCTGTTAATTAGTTTTGGTTTGAAATTTAGTTTGTCTGCAAATAAGATAGCTACCCCTGCTTTTTTCTGGGTTCTTGTCACATGATGAACTGTTTTCCATCCTTTTGCTTTCAGTCTATGAGTTTCTTTTTGAACTAGCTGCATTTGTCTTATACAGCATATTGTTGGATTTTCCTTCTTAATCCATTCTGCCAGTCTATTTCTTTTGATTGGTGAATTGAGGCCATTAACATTGATGGTTATAACTGATGTATATTGAGCTATTATCATTATGTTATTTTCTTGTTGTCTTTTTAAAATTTTTTCCCCTCTCCCTTTAATTTCTTGTCTTGCCTGCTGGATTTGCTCCTTTGTGTTTCATGGAATTATGATCTTCATTGTCCTTTTTTAGGATACTATTTAGAATTGTCTGAAGTGCTGATTTGGTGTTCATGAAGATTCTCAGGTGTTATTTGTCATGGAAGTATCTTATTTCCCCATCAATTTTGAAAGATAGCTTTGCAGGATGTATCAGTCTAGACTGGAAGTTGTTTTCTTTTAGGGCTTGAAAAACGTCACTCCAGGCTTTCCTTGACTTGGGGGTTTGTGTTGAGATGTCTGCTGTGATTCTGATTGACTTTCCTTTGCAGGTAATTTGCTTCTTTTCTCTGTCTGCTTATAGTATTTTATTCTTCTGTTGGGTTTCTGGGATCTTGATTATTACTTGTGTACGTGTACATTTTTTGTGATTATGGCTAGTTGGAGTCCTATAAGCCTCACTTATCTGTATGCCAAATTCTTTTGCTCTGTTTGGAAAGTTTTCTGTCATTAATTCTGTGAACAGTTTTTTTATGTCACTTGTAATTTCTCCTGCTTTTTCATGGACTTCTATCAGTCTTATTTTTCTTTCTTTGTATGATCAGGAGCTGTTAGATTGATTTCTTATGCTCCCTTACTTTTTGTTAGGAGCTCCTTCTTTTCATGGTCATTGACTACCATCCTGTCTTCTATATCTGATATCCTGTCTTCGGATTGGCTCAGTCTGTTACATGTACTTTCAATAGAGTTTTTAATGTCGTGGATATCTGTGTGAATCCGTTTCATGGATTCCATTTCTTTCCTATATTGGGCATTCATTGTTTCTATTTCTTTTTTTATGCTGGGCATTCATGGCTTCTTTCATGGTCCTGAGCCCATTTATTTTCTTATCTGTTTGTATTCTAGAGTCTGTAATCATTTCTTTCAGTCTCCTCACAATTTCTGTTTTTGAATTTTTCTAGAGCCTCATTCTTCTGCTTTCTTACATCCTGTGCTATCCGTTCAGGGTGTCCAGCTGGTTGATTGTCAGACTTTTCCACTTAATTTTCCCTAGAATTTGCCTTTGATGAATAGGCAGACAGTGTCTGTGCTTGTTCCTTGCTTGAATGTCTTCTCATTCCTATTTTTGTTGTTGGTACTTTCCTTGATTTAATGCCTGAGTTAATACTTTGATCTTCCTGTTATAGCTTGTCTTTAGATTTTGAGTCTCTAATAACTCTGAAGAAATCTCGTTTTCGTTATACCAGGAAGGACAAATGATTAAATCAATCACAACATTTAGCCCAAGTAATACAATCAGCAACATAATAGCATGAAGCGCAGCTTATAAAAAAACAATTTTGTGATATTTATTAATCTCTCACCTTTAACCATGTGAATTAAATAAAAATTGAGGCTGGAGCTCAGAGCAATGGCCTTTATGACTTCCTGTGCCTCTGTGGTTTGAATCAGGTACCAGCCCAGCCAGGAGGCCAGAGGCACATGGGGTGAGGGAAGGGGGCTGCATGTACTTGTGCGGCTATGCCTTGCACCATTCCTCTCTTGTAATATTTATTGCATAAAGAAATAATGTTTGGATTTTGTGGTCAGCTTTCCATTGCTGGATCAGTGCTCTGGAAAGCAACGATTTAGGAATATAGAGCAATGAAGAAAAGAAAGAAAAGGAGGCTAGAGAATGATCTTGATTTTAGGCCAGTGGGCCCTGGCTAACAGTGGTTTCTGACAGTCTACAAAAGAGGAAGAAAAAGAAAAAGGGATAAGAACTAGCAATAATGTAGGAGCTCAGTCACCAGAATTGGGTCCTAGAATCACAGGATTATCTGGAGAAGGCTTTCTGGATGTTGTTTTATTAGTCTGGTGGGCTTTAAATTACTTATATAGTACCTAACTATGAGGGGTACCTAGGGCAAAGCTTGATATGCAGGAAGGAATTAAGCTGCGTTAGATTTGAAGATTAAATGAGAGATGAATGGGTAGTGATTTAGGCAAATTGAAACGGGATATACCTGTCTGGTGATGTACAGCACAGTAGAAAGCATTTTGACATGACTTAGACTGTGAGTACCTATGGTGATGTTTGGTAATTTCTGCATTATTATCTTAGTGGCATCAGGCATTTTTCACAGACCACCTTGATCATTGCTGGCATTCCTGTCCCTGAGGCATCAACTGTTGGTTTTCCCCAGCTGTTATTTCAACAGGCTTCCCATATACATAACCCAGTAGTGCCCTTCCTCCTGTCCCTGAAGGGCACTTGTTACTTCCATACAGCGTGTGAGATGCTGTGGTACCAGAAAGTTCATGTAACCTAGGTGGGTGTGGTGGACATGCCTATAATCCCAGTACTTGGGAGACTGAGGCAAGAGATTTCTGTGAGTTCCAGGCCATTGTGGGCTACATGGTGAGTTCAACTCCAGGCTGAATTACTTAGTGAGATGCTGTCTCACAAAATTTAAAGAAAGTTTATGTAACCTAAAAATATTGGACAATTAATGTTCTATGAGATGTATTTTGATATGAAGTGGAAGCTAACTAATAAATTCCTCTTTCTCATGCTTAGATGAAGGGCCTGTGTCTGACTCAGAAGATGACTATATGGATGGAATGGACAGTTGAGTTTGTGTCTAAGCTGTGGCCACCTTAGTAGTATATCCTCCTGGTAGCTCTCCTTCCCTGCCACACTCATCCATCAGCCCATTTCCTGAGGATTCACCTTTAATAAGAAAGTAACATGTAAGTGATTGCCTCAGATTTGCCAAGGTATAATCATCAGTTTCAGGACTGTGGAGGCCAGTAGCTGTGTAACTTAGTATTAGCCAACAACTGTATGCAACTGGTTTTGATTAAGATATAGTGTGAGCATATATATATATATATATATGTTTAAAGATGTAACAATATAAAAGAGGTATAATAATTCATTAACACTTTTTATGATCTATTACATGAAAAAATGATAGTTTGGATGTATTGGTCAGCTTTCCATTGCTGGAACAAAATGCCTGACATATACAACTTAAAGGAGGATAGATTTAATTTGGCTTATTGTTTCAGACCACAGCCAGCTGGCTGTATAGTAGGAACCTTGTAGTAGAAGGGCCTGGCTCAAGAAAGTGGTCAACTCACAGCACCTAGGAAGTCTATAGAGAGTTGGAGAAGAGGCAGAGAAGTAGGGGCCAGGAATCACGTATAGCCCCTTTAGCTATTGGGAGGCTAGTGCCTTTACAATCCAGTTCCTCCGGGAATTTTTTAATCCAGTAAAGTTGACAATTGAGATTAACTGGCACATAGGCTATATTAAGTTACATAAAACTACTTTCACACCTGGTTCTTTTAACATTTAGAATATGGCTGCAAGATTTCCATTTACTTTAGTCTAGAGTTTGTAATTTAGGGCAAAATATGGGAGCTTCCCATCTTCTTTTGTTCTTTTGGCATTTCTTTTATTTTCTATGAATTCTTAGGGATTATTAAGAAGTGATGGAGTGAATAAATTATACTTTCAAGCCATGGGAGTGCTTTTATGAGGGTGAAAATGTTACTGGACACCTAGGTTTGCTTGCTTGCCACTGACCAAATCAAAGGGGGGCAATTATTTTGCTGAAAAGGAAAAAGGCTTTATTCAAAGTAAGTTCTGTTTGTTTGTTTGTTTTGTTACTGGGGATCGAACTCGGGTCCTTGTACTTGTGAGGCAGGTGGCAGAAACACTGTGCTAAATCCCCAGCCCCTTCAAAGCAAGTTCTGATGAGATTCAGGGGTTCATCACCCAAATCACCATCTCATCATGTACAGGTTGATAGTGTCTTTGACAGCAAAAACAGTGGAGAGGCAAGAATGCACTGGCATAGTAGATGTGTTCAGGCTAGTTTCATCCCTTCCTAGTCCCTACCATTTCCTCTTGCCTATGGAAATGAAGATGCTGGATTTTGCCAGCATCTGCATATTATCTAGCTGAGATAAGTGGGTAGTGGCTATACGTAAGTCATGTGGAAGTTTGGAGAAACCACTTGTCTCTAAGAAAAAGAAATTCTTTGTAAGGTTCTATTTTGCTCTCCTGGTTACAAAAAGAAGCAGCACCATGTGCACATTTACTACATGAATATGTTAAATGACCATCTATGTTTGTTAATATCTAGTTTTATAGGTGATTAAGTTTATAATTTGAATTACAAATGAATGAGGGCCTGAATTTGATGCCTTACTAAAAACATTAACGTGAGCACAATAGATGCTGCAAAGGTGAACAGTTTTTTGTTAATCTCCTGCTATATTTTATTACACGTATTTTCCATGCTATAGTTGAATACCATGAGCATCATGCTTAAGGATTAACTTTTGTGCTTTTTTTCTTCCTTTCTTTTTTTTTTTCTTTGCTTCCATTATCAATTACATGTTGTGATTTGGTGGGGGTAAATTAAATTTGTTGCAGGATTGGCTCTGCTCCTTTCTCTGGAATGTCCTTGTGGCTTTCTTGCCTAGGGTACTTCATCATCAAATTGTCTTATTAAGTACTCATGCACTGTATCTAGTACAAGTGAAATAGTGGTGGATTTTATTCTGTTCTATAAAAAGATAAGGTTCTGGCTGGCAGTCACGTTCCTTGTTTTGGAATTTTGTTCTGGCTGGATTGAAACACTGTAAAAGAATAGTTGGTGAGCAGTTGCTTAAGGGACAAGAGGTGAGTGAATTCATACTTAAAAGACATGTGATTTGAGAGGGAGGGAGTGACAGTTTGGGTTAGAAGACAGTTTCGGTGGAAAGAGAAAGGAAAGCAACAAGTTTAAAGAATCAAAAGGAGCAGTAATTTAAAAACAAATCAAAATCACTTGGCATAGCTCCACCCTGTCAAAATTTAAGATGTTTTCATTTTAGCTGTAAACCAACATGGTAGCAGAGTATGTTATGTACACCTGGGTAATTAGTTTATTTTCAGAGAAATTCAAGAAAACATACTATCCAGAATTTTGAAATTCTGAAGCAGTACAGTTTATTCTCAAGCATGACTCAAAGATCACCTACCAATATTCTTTCAACAGACATGACGTTTGAGTTGATCCCAACAGCCAGATTCAGAGGTCTCTTTCACATGCCACAGGATTAATTTCCTTTATTTTCTAGCCCTTATATTCTGTGTTCTTTGAGCATTTTTTCCCTCAAAAGAAATTAAATGTAGAGAAACAATTCTATCAGAAGATTTACTGTGATAAGAGAGGTTTTAATTTGAAGTTCACTGAAGATGTACTCATACATGAATTAATATTAACTTTGTTCAAAGACATAAACTAGCAGAGTGCATGGACAATCACAGTGAGTCATTTATTTCAAATAATAGTCTCTAAACTGTTTCACAGCCTTCCTGGGGGGATGGAGTTACATGAAGTATAGTTAATAGAAAGGTAAACTACTAGTCCCCTTCACATCCCACAAGAATCTATCTTGGCAAGTGAATTTCCTTTGCAAAACTGACTTGAACTCATTCAGCCCTTAGTGGAAATTGTGACAGCATTCTAAGTGTCCCTCTGGATCAAGGCATGTAAACACAGTCATGTCCAGTCTGGTTTTATGTTAAAAATCTTTTAAAAATGGTTAACAGCTTTCATTGCTCATAAAGTTAAAATCACTTTGTTAATTTATGACCCAGAGAGGCAGATTATTGTAGGCAGAAAATATAAAAGAAAATGAACTGTAGCTTGTATTTTCTTTTTTAGTCAACCAACATATAATATTATTAGCAAACTGTATCATGGCAGCACCTTGATGATTATAAAGATTAGAGGGATAATATTCATGTTAAGCTTGGAAGACAGGACTTAAATGACCTGGACGACATAAGCGCAGGGTAAGATTGTAGTTTAAGTGTGTAGCTTGCAAGCGCTGATATATTCATGGTTATTCTCCAACGTTAGCACAGCCATGACACTTCATAAGGCCTCCGTAAATATTTACAGGATGAACACAGGGTTGAATGCTAGGACTTGTCTCATGGCATTGCCAGCTCATCAGGGAAAGTGCTAGATGTGTAATCTGGATGTGAGCCAGGAAAAGGAGCAGGTGAAAGCTGATGAGGTAATGGGAGATGGAACCCAAGAAGTTGCTGAGGTTTTCTGGTGTATTTTGCTGTTGACATTTGTTTGCCCTTCATGATTTCACGTGGGCTTTTCTGAGAGGCACATGAGAGAGGCTGCTCAGGAGAGCATAATCAGGATAAAGGTGTATCAGAACCAGGCAGGGAAAGTAAAGATGTGAGGGATCAAAGGACCCTAAGAAGAATCCTGTAAATATAGGCATACTGAAAAAGTATGTTCATTTATAAAGAAAATATTTAATTCTGCTCCTTAAGAAAATGGACATTAAAGGAATAACTGCATTTGCATCTTTTTTTTCATTTTTAAACATAAAATGACATGTGGGTCATCACATTTAGTGTAAGACACTAATGACAAAAGAATTTATGGGCAAGTCAGGAAGAAGGAACTACATGAACATCTTCTGTTCCAGTACTTAAGATAAAGGCTCTGCATGTGTGGTCCCGTCTGACCCTCACAATAAATTACTAACACTTGAAGACCTCACAATATCTCATTGAGAAAGTACAAGAAAACTCTGTGTTTTCTTTATAATCATTCTACAAGTAATACACAAACACGTGCTTATGTTTCAAATGCCAAAAAGCAAAATTTATATTCAATCCTTGCTACCTTCCAAGGACTCTTTCCTTCATATATGTGATTACTGTTAACAGTTAGACATGTGGCCTTCTGATTCTTTTTATTTTTATGTGTTATAATTACATGTGCATTTAATTTTAAAACATGAAATTATTGAGGTGTACAATTCATTCATTGGAATGTAAATATGAAGTGATTCAATTTTTAAAAGTATGACTTTCTCTCAAATGTGATTTTTTTGGGGGGTACTGGGAATCAAACCCAGGACATTCACATTAAGCAACAACCTAGCCCTTTTCTTACTTTTCATTTTGAGACAGGCTCTTGCTAAGTTGATAAGTTTTCTGGGGCAGGCTTGAATTTATGATCCTCTTGCCTCAGCCCCCCAGAAGGCCTGTGTTATGACAACCAGATTCCAAATGTGATATTTTAAACTTCTTTTTTTGTTCCTTGGGTGGTTTGTAAGTTCCTTACTGAAATCTTAGCTCTTTTCTTCAGCTTTTCTGTTTTTTTCAGTTATTAAAGTGATCTCATTTTGATATCAAACATTACATTTGTTTTAAAATTCCAGTTTTAAATGCAGTTCAATCTCCTGTTCGACCCCAGAGAAAGCTGAACCTGTGTGGGGCTCTAGCTCTCTGTTGAAGTTGCGGGGAGAGAATGTAACAGCTTTTACCTGGTGGACTGCATCTGCTATTCTAACTTTTTGTGAGCTCAGTGATAATGGGTGTGTCCTTTGTAATAGGGGCTTGTTTCCACTTGGTGGGCACTGGCAGCCCTTATATTCCAAGCAAAGGTGAACTCTATACTCATTCTTTAGTGGAGTATATTTTCTCTCTGCCATTCTCAACTATGGTAGCTCTAGACTGTGGTGGTTCTAAAGAGTTGAGTCTCAGCTGCTGGTTAACAGACATATGACAGACATATGTGAGATTCCATCTTCCATGACAGAAATCAAGAGCTTAGAGTATGGAGGTGATTCTAACTTTGTTTCCAGTGGGTACCTCCCCACTCCCGTTTGCCATCTCTTTCTACTTTCTTTTCATAGATAGCATGGAGCACATC